GCAAAACATGTAACTTGATAACAATGCATTTGGGAAATGGCCATTACTGTTGTTTGTAGGTGCTAATCAGCCAGCAATCACTTGTGTAGCATTAACAAGTGTGTGCTTCAGAAGCCAGCTGGATTCTTGTTGGTGATGTCAGTGAAGTCCTGACTGCATCCAAAATCCTTAATCTGGCATATATACCGTGTTTATAAACAGACTCTGTGAAAATGGAATGTGGAGAGGATGTGGAAGCAACAGGGTTGAGGTTGGAAGGAGAATATGACACGTCTGATGTTGCTATTTAAAAAAAAAAAACTTTGTTATATATTTAGCTGGTTTAGGTTTGAGTCCTTATAACCTGTCAGTCTGGCAAAAACGTGTATTCAGCGTTCACTGGAGAAGGACAGTAATGCTTAGCCCCCTCATGAGGATTTCTGAGAAATCTCTTCTTGCTGATTCTGCAGCTTTGTTACAGGAGAATTGTGGAGGAAAAAAGAAAACAAACCTTACAAACAGCAGTTCTCCGTTTGGGGAATTCATTCCTTATCCTCTCCCCTCCCTGTTTGCTTGAGCACAATATGACTCACTAAACCACAGTGCTGCATTGTGTATCTGCCAGCCTCGCAAAGTCTCAGCAAACTCCATGAGTACCTGATTTATTCCTGATACATTTCACCATACTGCCCCGCATGTTACTTCATCCGTGTGACTTCCTTTAGAAAGCAGTCAAAACATCTTCTAAAGCACGTGAAGGAGACTGACAGTGACGAAAAGGAGGAGATGCCTGTTTTCATAGGCTTTCTTTACCATTGCAGAGTAGATGTAAAGGCCCCAATTATTTGCAGTTCACTACATCTCTGGTCTCACTGTTTCTTCTTTATTGCACCTCTTGGGATATGGGGCTGGCACCTTGTGGTCCCGCCAGCTACCGTAGGCAAAAGACTTGAGTCCCTGTTCTGTCAAAGGATGTTGGAATGCTTGTTTTTGGAAAACACTAAATTCCCCCTGCCTTCCCTAGATGGCAGAGGTCCTGTCCAACATCTGCCACATAAGCTTGGTTTTAGCACAAGGTACTACTTTGCCCTAGGTGTCAGTAGTGGTTGCATCTTTTTGTCTCACCAGCCCATCATCTTCAGCAGGTCTGGCTGTGAAATCACATGGATTACTCTTGTAGTACCAATTTCTTGTGGAAATGAGATGTCCAACATGCATATTTGGTTTCTACATACGTACATTTTTTCTTAATAAATTTACCACTTTGAGATATTTCCTGTTTCTGCTTTCCATAGCTATTTAAGAGAGTATCAGTCATATTCAAGTCTTCAAAGAGATGAAACATCCTGATTTTAATATCCAGTAATCTCCAGTGCTCTGGTGCGCAGTGAATTTTCTCATTTGGTCTTATTCTAGTCATAAAGTCTGTGCTGAAGACAACTAGTTGTATGAACTCCTAGTGCTTGCCTTTGAGATTTCATTTGTGATTTAAGACATCACGATAGTTCCAGGATTTTGTTGATTTGTTTCACCTGGTTCTTTCCTAAGAACATCTGCCATATCTGAGTGATAGCAGCTTTATATGGATCTGCTTATATGGGAATTTCAGGTGTATTTCAACTGATAATCAGATGAGCAATACTGCAGAGTGTTTGCTTCCAAAATTGGCAGGTTCACGTTTGACCCAAAATGTATATTCAGAAGGTGTATCAGGTTTACTGGCTTGTTTCTGGTTTATTTTTGGAGTTTGAGGCTTTGACGTGTGTTGTCTTAAATTCCTTTTACTCCACAGCTGGAACAGTGCTGGTGAGTGGCAGGAGAGGTAAAAGGAGCTGGATATGGCTCTTGCTAAATGTGAATTTCATGCCCCTCAGGCAGGAACCACTTATTCCTTGCATGATTCATGTTTAAGCATTATTTGTACACTGCACAAAGATATCCATGTTTGATCCATGGCATTAGCATAATCCATTGGAAGCCTTATCCATCTTGGGTAACACCTAGCTTCTGGGAGTTATGTGTAACTTTCATATAGGTTGAAGACAAACTCTATCCCACATAAAGTTGTTTCTAACATCAGACAGGAATACCATCGTATGTCTCACCTGCAATGTTATGTAATTTAGTGTGTCCGCTTCCTATATAGCTTTATGGTTTGCTCCATTAGGGTAGGTAAAAAAAAACCGCTCGTAAGATGGAACTGTTTCCCCCTTCCAACAGGAACAAAGTTATGTAGTTGCTGGAGTCTGGGAGGAAACCTGATTAGCAGGTCATCTTCCTATAGCTCCTGGAAAAATGGATGTAGAGTTTTGGAATGCCCTGGGGCGAATGACCGTTTCCTCTTCAATTATTCACCAAAGTGATAGCAATAAAAAATTCTTATATCTATCTTCAGAAAACAGA